GGGGGGGGGGGGGGGGGGGGGGGGGGGGGGTAGGTAACTCCATCAGGAGTTTGCCGGAAAGGGAAAGAAAAGGATATTTCAAGCAATGGGAAGAACATGAGCAAGGGCATGGAAAAGTGACAACATGTGGCATCTTCAGGGACAAACAATGACGGAGTTATGAGTTTTATTTGACTAAATACAAATAAAAATGAGGCCAGACTGGGAGGTGCTTTAATCACATGCCAAGGAATTTGGCTTCATTACAGTAGGCACAAAGGCTTTAGGCAAAGAATGATGTCACATAAACACCATGAAAGACTCTACTATTAAAATTTTTTGGAACTAAAAATATTAAAAGTTTCCACTGGCTACAAAAACATATGAGAACATTAGTTCCAGAGCCTCTGAAATAACTCAGAGGTCCCACTGGCCTATAGGCCATGAGTCCAGGTAAGATTTAATCATTTACTATTTCTCTGTGGATCTTCAGGGCACAGGATACAGTGGAACCAACAGAAATTGGTTTGTGATTAAGAAAAATGGAGAGAACAGATGACTGATCCAAATTTTCTGACCTGATTATCTTAACAGGATGCTGATGAGAAGGATGCAAGTTTTGTCTAGGAGATATTCAGAAATTCAGAAATCTGTGCCATGAATTCTGCCCATAAGTAGTTAAAACACAGGTTTGGAGCTCTCCCAAGAAGCTATAGCCATAGATAGGAATTTGAGCATCACTATCTATAATATACTAGTGAGAGTTGAAGTCACATAGGTGGAAGAGATCACTGAGCCTGAATGGAACCCAGTTTGGAATATAGTAATCCGAGGGCAAAGGTGAGACTAGATAAGGGACAAGAAAGATATTCAGAGAAGAGAAACAGGAGAAGTATAATATGAACCTAAGAAGGTACACACTGCAAAAACCATTTGTAGTATAGTACCAAATGAAAATTAGAAGATCCACTAGCGTGAAGATTGCAAAGAGGCTACTAGGTATGTCAACTGGGTAGTTGCTGACAAATAAGCATTCATTAGAATGGGAAGCAGGTATACGACAGAATGAGTTGAAGAGTGAATAGAAAATATGGGAGGAGAAATAGTACAGATTACTTCAAAAAGTCTGGGAAGGAAGGACAAGTGTTAATGGCATGACATACCATCAGACAGGAAGGACATACATTTTGTGCATTATCTGTTTGATATGACTTATGCCTAGAGACTCAGAATAAGGTCTGCCTTCAGTTTTCTTTTAGTATCTACCATATTATATAATAAAATTAATGGCACCATAAATCATTATTTGAATGCTAAATACAATACTACATACACTTTGCTAAATTTTAATTAAATTCTTAGGATAAAAGGGAGAGCATTAGATTCCAACCAGCAACTCATTAAACACAAGTTCATTTATCTGCATGTGTAAAAGAGGCCATGCCCTGTTATGCAATTCCACAGACTATGTGAGTAACAGTGGGGATATTACAAGATATTACCTTAGTTCCTTCACCCTGAGCTGTACAAAAACATACTCACCTCCATAATAGAGTCCTGTAGCAGTGCACATCCGCCACTGTCCCTGATACATTCCTGCTCTGCTGGGGCTGCACATCTGGACGCTGACATCTGCAATTTCTTGTGGCTCTAATGATCTCACCATCACCATGTTCACATGTCCAAACTGGTCTCCCCCGACATACTTAAGACAAACCCCTGGAGGCCAGGCCTCTGCCCCTGAGTTCAAGCACAAGGAAAAAAAAAAAAAAATGTTAAGTCATCAGTAGTCCTATGCTTGTTGTAGTTTATTATGAAACTATAAAGAAGCCCCTTTCTCCATATCTCACATACATACAAAAACCTACCTACAAACTGAGTTAGTCAATGTCTAACTGATCAGAAGGAATTATCAGAATCAACAACCTCTGACCAAGAGTCTATCCCTAAGAGAATGACTTATGGCAAAGACAAAGCAGTTCTTTAAGAAGATGTTTCAGGTGATGTCCATGAAGTGTCAAGAAGATGAAGCATAGGCCCATACCTTTAGGAAACTGCTTTCTCTACTAAAAAATAATACATGTTCACTTTTATATGGACTTAGGCTGATATTCAAAGTAAAAATGTCTGATTATTCCCAGCTTTTCCAGAGATGAGAGAATGAAACACATGAATAATAATGTCTATACTAGTCTCACTGTAAAGTTGTTTTTTGCCAGATATATGATCTTTCTTCTGGGATCCTTAACTATAAAATACCCAGGTTCAAGAGACTCCTCAAATACAAGACAATCATCAAATAAAAGTTTAGATCTCAAGTTCAAATGGCAGTGGGCAAAACGCAAACAATGAGGTGATCTCCATTACATGATCATGAATGAACTGTGGTCCCATGAACCAGCCAGAGGTGCTGATGGAAAGGATGGAAATAGTAATATGAAGAACTGGCTTTAGGAAGAACGTTTTTCTTCCTTTGGAAGGGCCAAAGATCTTACCTGGTATGTACTTTACGTGCTTATTTACACCTAAACTGAAAACATGTAATTCAAATGAGAAATCTATGAGTTGACTACCTCTGACAAGTCAGGTGGTACAGGTAGCCACACAATGACAAGATACAATCTTACCTCTGAAATCTCTCCAATGTGAAAAACCTAATATATTCCCTTTTAAATATAGACATAGCCCTCTATATATCTTTTTTCTGCAATATAAAAATTCATTATAAAAATCTCTGAAAAGTTGGACATGGCAGGACCCTCATGACAGAAGATACTTGTGATTTATCTCTAAGTAATACCCTTGGATGCCTCAGTTCCTTGCTTTCAAAGTGCCACACTGGTTTTAAACATATCCGACCGCCAACTACTAGAAAGGAAACAGACAAAAAAGAGCAAACAGTGATCTACTGCTGAGATTTCAACTCCATTATAAACAGCACCCTTTGCAGCTCCTCATTTTTATGGGGTAGTACATGAAACAGTGTCTAACGTGTCTTGGCATATACTCTTTTAAAACATCTTCCACCAGCCAAGTTCAGTAGCACATGTCTATAGTCCCAGTTACTTCGGAGGCTGAAGGAGAGGATTGATTGAGCCCAGGAGTTTGGGACCAGCCTGGGAAATGGCAAAACTCTACCTCTTTAAAAACAAACAAACAAAACTGATAGCAAAGTGCTCCTTAATTTAACACTATAGAGAGCAATCTATGATGGCAGAAGTATTATGGGAGATATACTTGCAAAACATGCAAATTCTGCTTTTCATTTCTGAGGACTGTGGCCTAGCAAAAGCATATTTCTCTTAGGTCAAGACTAACAGTAATGCACATAAAAGTACCTTAAAAATGTCAAGTCTCCTTAAAGACCAAAATTCAACATAAAAAAGTAAACTACTGCTAGCGCACGCCTGTATAATCCCAGCAGCTTGGGAGGCTGAGGCAGGAGGATCACAAGTTCAAAGCCAGCCTCAGCAAAAGCAAGGTGTAAAACAACTCAGTAAGACACTGTATCCAAATAAAATACAAAATAGGGTTGGGGATGTGGTTCAGTGATTATGTGTCCCTGAGTTCAATCCCCAGTACTGCCCCTCACCCCAAGTAAACTGCTACAGATCTCAATTTAAAATTATTCCTTAAAAAACTACCCCACAGGGGCTGGAGTTGTGGCTCCGTGGTAGAGCGCTCACCTAGCATGCACGAGGCACTGGGTTTGATCCTCAGCACTACATAAATGTAAACTAAAGATACTGTGTCCACCTAAAACTTAAAATATATATATATWTTTTTAAATACCTCACCCTTGCCTTTCTCTCTCTCCCTCTCTCTCCCACACATACATATGCGTAACAAGACAATGTCTGATTATATGAAATCCCAAAATATCTTTTTTTTAACTTCCAAAAAAAATAAACCAAGACTGTCTGAGTGTGAGAAGAGACTCGCCTATCCTGAGTATCTGAGACTGCCGAGTCTCTTAATGATACCTAATAGGACCACTTTTATATTCCAGAGAATCTGAGTTAGTAAAACACCAAATGGGCAACATTTAATGGTCTGGCCAAGGCTCACTCTCCTGGGTACCACAGATAACTGTAACTGCTCAATGTCATGGTACCAAGAGAGCTTCTTGAAGAAAAAATGGAAGAAATACCCACCATCAATGCCAAAGTGTTAATCTGCTAGGAAGTGGAAGAACAAATCATCTTAAGAAAATTGGGGTGCTGGGATTGTAGAGCACTCGCCTAGTATGTGCAAGGCCCTGGGTTTGATCCTCAGCACCACATAAAAATAAAATAAAGATATTGTATCCAACTACAACTAAAAAATAAATATTTTTTTTTAAAAAAAGAGAAAGAAAAAGGRGGGAAAACAATAATCTGCCTTCTGAGAGTTTTCAATGATGTATTTAGAGGTTCTTAAAGTCATAACTATTAGGTCAGATAATTTTGAAAAGCTCAAGATACTAAATGCTCAATATAGAATGAAAGGAAGTACTGGTGAGCTGTTTGGGCCACCTACCTCACCATACCTGGAATCTGAATTTCAAAAGTTTATTATGCAACAGGACTTCAAATTCTTTGTTACAAACCAGTTTAATGGAAAATAGGTCTATCTAGAAGAAATATAAAGACATATCTGTGTTTTTTGATTTCCAAGTATCAGAATATAGTGTATGATTAAGATTGTGATGTTCTAGTTATGAAACATCACTTTATTTAAGCAAAAATAATACAGCTAGATGTGTTGGCACATGCATTTAATTTCAGCAACTCAGGAGGCCAAAGCAGGAGGATCACAAGTTCAAGGCCAGCCTAAACAACTCATCAAGAACCTGTCTCAAATTTTTTTGAAAAGGGCTGTAGATGTAGCTCAGAGGAAGATTTGCATAGCAGGCACAAGCCCCAAATTTGATCCCCAGAACTGCAAAATAAAGRAATACATAAATAAAAATAAGTAAAAATAAAACAAACAAACAAAAAAAAAACCCTATCATGGTAGAATGGTAGAAAGGATCACAAAAAATCAGATGAAAGCTATTCAACTGTTCTAGAAAGCCTGAGAGTTACTATCGGTGATTACAGAAATAATTTGGAGACAGGAATATCCAATAGGGAAACAAATCTCAATGAACATCTCTTTTTTAACCTCTATGTGTGGAGACTACATTTCAAATGAAGTTCCAAGAAAACAAAGACCTTTATCACCAGGCCTTGTCACCAGTTCTCCCCTGTGCCTAATAAAGAAACTGGAACATACTAAAATGTTAAAGTATCTTCTCTATAATATTACTTCCCTATTATTATACTTTCTCATAATCATAAAATAAAGACAGAAAATTAACTATTTCAATAAATGAAAAGTGGAGGAAATAGTTGCTCCTTCTCAAGTTCTGTCCCCAAACCTTGTTTTATTTTTATATTATACTTCTATATATACTTCTATGGAGAGTTCAGAAAATAAGACTCTAGATCAGTAGGCCCACCTGATCCAGAGTTATTGTAACATGCTCAGTTTAACTTTTACTACAGCTAGGAGACACAGCATGGAGTTCTGTTTTGGGTTTTTGTTGTGGTTTGGATTTTTTTTTTTTTTGGATACTGGGAATTGAACCCCTGGACACTCTACCACTGAGCTACAACTCCAGACCTTATCTTTTATTTTCTGAGACAGAGTTTGGTTAACTTGCTGAGGCTGGCCTTAAACATGGGATCCCCTTGCCTCAGCCTTCAGAGTCACTGGGATTACTGGGCATGTGCCACCACACCCAGCAGAGCATAATGTTATAATATTAATAACCAAGAAGTATTGTTGTTAAAGATTCTGTCTACACACATTTTTAGAGGGACAGTTTTGAATTTTAACTTTAACCTCCAATTTTAAGTTTTCCTGCTCAGACTTCCCAAGCTTTCAATATTTCTACAATGACAAAAGTTTAGATCCTGAAATTATGTGTGTATATTATTCAATGTTAAGCATTTAAATAGTATGTGACATTTACCTTCTTTGTGGAAGCTGTTGAAGAGCTACATGCAGGTCCTATCAACCCCATCTGTTGTATATGTAAATGCCTAGCATGCCTAAAAAGCAGCAGCAGACACTGGGCGGGGTAGTGCACGCCTGTAATCCCAGCAATTTGGGAAGCCAGGCAGGAGGATCTCAAGTTCAAAGCCAACCTCAGCAACTTATCAGAGCCCTAAGCAACTCAGTAAGACCCTGAATCTAAATAAAATATAAAAGAGGCTGGAGATGCGGCTCAGTGATTAAGTGCCCCTGGGTTCAATCCCCATTACCCRCACCCTCCCCCCACCAAAAAAAAAAGGTAGCAAGGAGATGCCTTAAAAATTATTTTAATGTAATTCTTTCAGTAAACACTTGTCTCTTAAGTAATAAATAAGAGATTGGGATGAGATCAAAGAACCAGTATACATTTTCTTTAATAACACATTTGCTATTCAAAGGGACCGATCCTTAACCAAATGGAAAACATCCAGTTTATAGATATAAGACTACAACTGGCTGAACAATGTCCAGAAAAATGGAAAACCTATTTGTGCAAAGCACCTTGAAAGATAAAATCTCCAGTAGTAACTGCAGCCCAATGTTTCAACAAAACTTCAGACACAAGAATGCCTTCTCACACACAGGAAGAAGGGCTACAGACCCAGAGGCTTTTTAAACTGCCACTACCAAGCAAAGGAGAAGGAAAAAGCAGCCAGGCCCACCATCAGAGATTTTTCTGAATTAAGGTGGTTCTGATTTGCCATTACAGCCATTATATCTCAACTTCGCCAACCCCTCCCTTTAATCCAAGGAACTCTCTGGTTAGTGTGGTTTGTAAGTGATATATAAATGTTATTCTGTGACCAAGACAGTATTTAAAACATTTCAACAGTACTCTAACAACTTTCAATATTTAAAAATACTAAAGAACTCACTATAAGTAAACAAGAATCCGAGTTATTTTTTTTAAAAAAACTTTTGAATAAGTCATACTTTTACAGAAAACTTCACTCATAAAATAATTTCACATGTACGTTTCCAAAGCACTTTTGATCAGTAACAGCTGGTATTTGTAATTCAGAGAAAAAAATATGATGAATAGAAACTGAAGACTGTTTTGATATTTTTAAAAGCAAGCCAAATTAGGAACAGTGAGAAAGAAATTAGGCAAAGTAAAAAATCTTTGACCAAGTAAGAACTTCAAAAAAACAAAAAAGGAAGAAAGAAAAATGCGGTTATTTTCCTGTATTACCATGCGCCTCCCAAACTAACAATGCACCAATGTCATAACCAAAAGGGTTAATAAACTTTACAAAACCATAGCTGCCCTAAGTCACCTACAACACTGAATCTGTCCAGATTATGTGCATTTGGTTAGTGACACACTGAACTTTCCTCCAAGGAGAATTATTTCTAAACATGCTGGAGAAAAAAAAAGATTAAATTCAGTACATTATTCTAATATAAAAGGCTAGTTTAGCCAATCTTTCCCCATCACAAAAACACAAAAAGTAAACTGAGTCAATAAAGGTCAAAGCCCTAAGCAACTCAGTAAGACCCTGAATCTAAATAAAATACAAAAGAGGCTGGTTATTATAGGTCTGCTGTAGTCCCCAGATTTTTTTTTTTAACCATCTCATATCAAATTACCTTGCTTAATTGCTTCTGAACAATACCCCCCAACACCTACACATTTTTAGCTACATACTTTTTGCCTAGTTTTCCATCACTCAGAGTTCCTCTGGAAAGTCTTCATTAAGAAGGAAGTTAAAGCAACTTCAACCAGTCAGAATAAATTATTATTAGATGGGACAAGAGAAACTAAACCTGAGGAAATAAAGAACTTGACAAGTAAAAGGTAAATTAAGTTACCAGACATGTATTCGGACATTATTTTCAAAGAATTATGGTCAATTTATTTCCAATTTGTCTTAAAAGAGGTAGCAGAACATCAAAACAATGCCCTTGGGGCTGGGGTTGTGGCTCAGCGGTAGAGTGCTCGCCTCGCACATGTGAGACCCTGGGTTTGATCCTCGGCACCACATAAAAAATAAATAAATAAACAAAATAAAGATGTTGTGTCCATGTATAACTAAAAAAACTTGAAAAAAAAACCCAATCACTTATTTTCAAATAATTTCCCTCCCTTCTGAACAAAACCTACCAACAATATTTTTCAAAGTGTATTTCAAGGATCTTTCAATGAAATTTCAAAAACAAATCATTCTTGTGATTGCAAAGAAATGAGCTTTCAAAAGAGCAGATGCTCACAGGTCTTTCCAACAACCTTTTTCTATTCAAGGTAMCTCCGTGAGCCTGCTGGAAGTGATTGGAAAATTTATTAGAGCAGAAATAAAATGATGGAGAAAAATGTACAGGTGGAGACAATACTCCACCACAAACAAGCCTAGCTCCAAGTACCAAATGAATACTGGATTGTTTAGATTCCATCAAGACTTAGAGACTTGGAAGCATGAGACCTAAATTATTATTCCTACTCTTGAGCAGGGAAAGCAGGGATGTTTCATTAATATTTGGTCATCATGCTGTACAAGAAAATTCTACATACCATACACGTATAAGAAAAAGTTCAGAATCACACAATCAGATCTACAAGATAAAAACATACCCAAGTAACCTTTTTCAGAAAACAGAGAACCAAACTGGACAAGGGAGAAATGCCTTTTATACACTTACCAGAATTCTGGATCCGCCATGTTTTTATAAACTGAGTATCAGGAGGTATTGACTCCCCTTCTCCTATGGTGACATCTTTAACAAAGGACATGGAGGGCACACTGATGTTTGGGCTCTCAAAGTCATAATAGGCTCCAATTGCTGCCTGTAAGTTCCTACAAATAAAGAAAAAAAGCAAAGCCTTCAGTCCTGGCCAAAAGATATTATTTTAGCCCATGTCTTAGGATTTGTCATAGAATCTGAAGCTTCTGGTATGAAAGTCTTCAAGGTCACTCATTCTGGCTGAGGAACAATAGAAAATCACAAAACTAAATCAACAAACTTTTCTGTCACTTTCTTCCCAAGGTACCCACATAGGAAGTAGCAAACCATACCACAGTGACAAAATGATGAAATCATAAATACATAAGGATGCAAGAATGAGTAAGGAAATCAATTGAGAGCTCTATTGAAACTGATTACAGAATTCATAGAAACTCCATGTTTTTAGACATTCTAATTACTTAGATTTTTAAAAAATAACCATCTTATCTTTTCCTTCCTAAAAACATACACATGGATAAACATTCATATTACTTTTTTAAATATCATTCCAGAACTTCAGTTCCTCCCGGCACATACAAGATAATGAGCTATATATTCATATTTTCCTCTGTTTACATAACTGATGTCATATTACCCACTACTCTAGTTTTATTCATTTAGTACAATATCTTTTTTTTTTTAAAGAGAGAGTGAGAGAGGAGAGAGAGAGAGAGAGAGAGAGAGAGAGAGAGAATGAATTTTTAATATTTATTTTTTAGTTCTCGGCGGACACAACATCTTTGTTGGTATGTGGTGCTGAGGATCGAACCCGGGCCGCACGCATGCCAGGCGAGCGCGCTACCGCTTGAGCCACATCCCCAGCCCCAAGTACAATATCTTGAAGATATTTCTATATCACTACTTACTGCAGATTCTCATTTTTTATAGCTGAATTCATTATATAGATGTTATTATTTATTTAACCAACTGACTTCTGAGTGTTCCCAATCTTCAACTTTTTCATAAGTAAGTTTAGGCACACATCAGTTTGTGTACATGCAGTTATTTGTAGAATAAATTCTTCTAAGTGACAGTGCTTGATCAAAGGGCATAAAGCTGCAGTTTTCACAGATATATTCAAACTTTCTTCTAATAAAAGTTGTATAATAACACTCCCACAAGAATTATGAGTGCCAATTTCGCCTCTTCTCATTGACAGTGTTTTTTCAACATTTTTTATTTCTGCCAATCTGACAGATAAAATATAAATATCAGTAAGATTTTACCATGTTTTCCTGAGGATTGGAGGAATAGTTCAGTAATCATGGACATGCTCCGCGTGAACAAGGCTCAGGATTCGATCCCTAGCAAGCACGCGAATGCACACAAACGCGCACAAACACACACCCACACACAGAGAGCCTTACACTTTTTGAGGGGAGGGGGATACCATGGATTGAACCAGGAGCACTCAACCAATGAGCCACATCTCCATCCCTTTTTTATTTTGAGACAAGGTCACACTAAGTTGCCTAGAGGCTCACTAAATTGTTGAGGCTGGCCTTGAATTTGTAATCCTCCTGCCTCAGCCTCTACAGTTGATGGGATTACATGCATGCACCACTGTGCCCAGCAGCTGTTCACTTTTATATGGGAAACTGAGTATCGTTTTAGACATAAAAAAGCTATTTGTAGTTTTACTTTTGGAAGAATCATTTTATAAATGCTGGCATTGTTCTGAAATTATTTGCAAACTCCCTTTTGTGAAAAGAACTACAAACACATAAACCAGAGTCTTCCCAACTGAACCGAATCACAACACTGACAGCTTGGTTCATCARTGTCAGAAACTAAAGGCCATAAAGGCTGTTTAAGTAAGCTATATTCATTACAGAGATCAAAAACAATTTTTTGTTAATTAATTTAACTGCTTGTCTCTGGTCTTACTTCAATCAGTGACATCATCCCCAGTTCCCATAGTAAACAACAAACCAAACTGCATGTTTCTAAACATAACCCAACCAGAAGCCAGTGGATCTGTGGCTGCTTTTAATTATGCATAAACAGCATGAAAAAAGCTCTGACAGTATGCAACTGTTCAACAGACATGCTATTAACAGCAAATACTTTTCTGCTGAGGGCCTGCCTGCTTCTCCAGGTGTTTACAACTGCCAAAAAGGAAGGCTATATTTAGAGTGGCTACCTCAGGTCAAGCTTCATGCAATGGTGGCCTGTCATATTAGTCAGTACAAACTGGAATTATAATACCAACTGTCTGTCCATCATGTGTGCTTGATAAAATTACATGAAACAGAGCTGGGCTAGAGTCCACACTGTACCTGTTTGCCCAACTCTTCAATACAAAGGTTTGGACTTTGATCTTCCTAGCAGTTTCCTATCTAGCTGWTACTAATCCAAACTAAAGTATAATGTGACTGATCAAACTTAAGGAATCACAGAGTACCTACAAACAGAAAAGTACATCTGGACTCAGACTTACTCTTAAGGATCAGGGATAACATGAAAGAAAAACAGGCCTAGTTTGCAATCTGTTCTTTTGAAAACATATTGTAAAAGCTGTTACTTTTATATATATATGAAGTAACAGTAAATGTTGGTGATAATGTGGGGGAAAAGGTACACTCATACACTGCTGGTGGGACTGCAAATTGGTGCAACCACTCCAGAAAGCAGTATGGAGATTTCTTAGAAAACTTGGAATGGAACCACCATTTGACCCAGCTATCCCACTCCTCGACACATACCCAAAGCACTTAAAATCAGCATACTATAGTGAGGCGGCCATATGAATGTTYATAGCATCTCAATTCACAATAGCTAAGCTATGGGACCAATCTAGGTGCCTTCAACAGACRAATAAATAAAGAAAATGTGGTAGATATACACTATGGAATATTACTCTGCCTTAAAGAAGAATGAGATCATGGCATTTGCTGGTAAATTGATGGAACTGAAGACTATCATGAATGAAATACACCAATCCCAAAAAGACCACCGGTCTAATGTTCTCTCTCATATACAGATGCTGATCCGATATAGGTGTGGGGGGCGGATAGAGGTTCACCGAATTGGACAGGGGTAGTGGGGGGGAAGATGATAGGAATGTGACAGTGAATGAATCAGACATAACTTTTCCTTTGTCCATCTATGAATACTTGACCACTGTAACTCCATATCACATACAACCACAAAAATGGGAAGTTATACTCCATGTATGTATACTACGTCAAAATACATTCTACTGTCATGTATAACTAAAAAGAAAAAAAAACTACCATATGATCTGGCAATCCCACTGCTGGGAAAAAAAGATAAAAATATATATTTTTTGGTCTCAGGTCTCTAGCAAGTAGCCTACTGAATTGGTTTCTGGTCACCTGGCTGTAAAAAAAAAAAAAAAAAAAAAAAGAGAGAAGAAACTATTTGTACACCAGGGACAGTTACCAAATTCTCATCTCCAGCATTTTTTTTATTTCGCCCCTTGACTCTAACATCAGGACAGGACTTCAAGACCACTGAAGTAAGAACTATCAAGTGGAAAAGTCAAGCTATGTTATTTAGGCAGATCCATTCCCCGCCTTGATCTCCTTTCACACATTCCAATTCTTCTTATAGCAAAAGACAACAAAGCTGCTTATTTGTACCAGTATTATACAAGTAATTCATCAGGACAAAGATTTAGAAACATTTTTTACAAGTCCAAACTGAAACTGAAAGTAGTGAACTGGACTTCTGGCAGTAAGTTAGAGTGCAGAATGACAAAGCAAATTCATCTCCCAAGTACAAGGCAGAAAGTGGACGGTGGCCCCATGGGGCTACAATCCATCAGGCAGATACACAGCTCCAAAGACAGGTACACGGGGTTGCTGAGTTTGGATCATTAGTACTACTGTCCCACTGAACCAAACAATAGCAGGGACAGACCAAACAGCTTCAATCCAGAGTCAGCAAAGCAGCCATAACATGTACTCCCTTTCAAAACAACATGCTCAGCTATTATTAGCCAACAAGAAATTCTACATTGAAATAAAACTGGCTGAGATGAAAGGAAAAGAAAAACACTGACCCAATATTCAGGACCGTCGGAAAGTTATCTCCCAGGTTCCTTCAGTGTTTTTGCTCAACAGGAGTTTTTAATCTGATTTCAGATAGTTAAAAACACCCTGAACAACCAAGGAAAGCAATTAACAGTGAAAAAACAACACAGGCTAAGAAAAATGGTGGTAATGGTTACAACAATATGAATATCCTTAATGTCATAAGAACCATACACTTAAAATGGATAACCAGTAAATTCTATGCCATATAGATATTATATTACCACAACTAGACAAAAATTAAGGTATCAGTCTTTGAAGTCAGTTGCATGACTCTGAGCAGGTGGCTAAGCCTCGAGGTAGAGTTTACTCATTGGCAAAATCATGTTGATACCACCACATCACAGGGATGGCTGCTGAGGCAATGTATGAAAATATTCTTTACTGACATTCATTCACTTAACAAATATTTAACAAATGAGCATTTATCCATGTGGTAAGTATCTGGCCTCAGGCTAGGGATAGGAGAAAGGCAMGGTTTGCCTTCACAAAATTAATAGTCCAGCACACAGTAGCCAACCAGGGACAAACAAGGGTCTCTCTTACTGCCTCTCACATAAAGGCCATTGGACCAAGGCAGCTTTTCTTCTTTAAAGTGAAATATGGGCTTGGCACACAACACCGTTTTAACTGCATCGATCAAGTTGACCTGATATGGGGTAGAAGAATTTGGTGACAAGACATTTGGTCTCTGATAAAAAACAATTTTGTTCAACCTTCATTTTATGCAAGAGGCCACTGAGATACTAAAAGGTAAAGGAATTAACCCTAGGCTAGGCAATTAGAATTGAGAACCACATCCATTCAGAGGCTATTCAAAACTTTTTAATTATCCAGACTTCTCTTATGGTAAAACTCTGAACATCTGATTTTCTTTATACATATTAATTACTAAAAATGAACTAGTTGTAATCCCCTAGTTATAATGAATTCTTCAATATAAATAGCTAACCTTTGCATATATTCACATAGAACATTTATTTTTGTACTATGGTACATACATTCATAAKAAG